TTTTGGTTTGCAATAAACTCCTTCTCTTCTCCCCTCTCAACTGGGATCTGTCTGGTTTGTTCCTGACTCATGACAGATGAAATGTGATCAGAGGGGCCTCCAAAATCTCACGTTAATTGAAGCTGGCAAAAAATACTAACAGTGCCCTTTTGAACTGCTGACACAGTGCAGAATGGATTAGCTGGGGGTAGATTAACAACAGGTGGCAGCTCACGGGCCGCTGCCGGCACAAAGAGGTTGCTAGCGGCCAGCAGCCGGGCGCGGGAACATCCTGCGAGCCAGCTTCAGGCTCGTGAGGGCCTCCGGGCCTGCGAGGGCGTTTCAGCATGGCCACTAGCGAGCAAAGGGGGCACCAGGACCGCAGGGAAACCTGGGGTCTGCAGGGACCTATCTGCTCTTTTCCTCCCACCAGTAACCTCTGCTGTGACCTCCTTTCCCTCAGGCTCCACAGACCCACCAGCACTGGCACCAGTAGCTTAGGTGAGAGCCCAGGTCCCTGCACCTAGACACTGGGGGATCCGTTTTGCACCTAGGTAGAGCTGCGAAGGTGCCCAGCGACCCGTTGGGATCAGCATAGCCCCTCTTGCCTTTCCACCAGTTGGCTGGGAGCATCAGCTCGGCTCAGATGGAGCGTGGCTGTTTTCCATCTCCCAAAGCAACAGATAATGCAGGTGCTGTTGCAAACTTATCCATTCCTCTCACTTGTACAAGAAAAATTCCTTCCCTCCCTGAGTGCTCAAAGCCAGATTCTCCAGATGTTGGCAAAGCTCTGACTATTGAGAGCCTAAAGCCAATTTCATCCTGGTTGTATGGGTTTACAAATTGCTCCTGATCAGGAAGTTGCCAGGAAAGGATGCAACTCTTGGATGAGCAGTTTTAACTGTACCATAGTCAGTGATCTTACACTTACCAGTATTTGACCTAAGGTGCAACATTCACAGAGGCAGAACATACTTGTTCCATACCCACATGAGGGAAGAAGACACCAAAGGGCTGAAAAGTCTCTCTAGAACCTCTAGAAAGTGTCAAGACCCAGATTAAAACTGCGCTCTTGCTGAAGCTACGCTTTCCTACTGGGATTACAAGAGGAGTTTAAAAAGCATTAAGAAATTTCTCACTGGGAGATGTGGCCACAGTGCCTGGGTTAACATGCTCCTTCTCTGCCGGAGAATACAACTTTGAGGCAGGGCAAAGTTTGGGCAGTTTTAGTGAAAAATAATTTTTTTTTCCTGTAAACTAAATAGATTTGCTTTTTTTTTCTTCCTCTTTTTAAAAGCCAGTTATTAACCTTTAAGCAGACGGATGTACAATAATCTTCCCATCGGCAAGAAGGTAAAAACCATGCAAGGTGCGTCTATTTATGGCCAGATGCAGCCCACATGTAAAGGTGTTGCATTTAATCTGAGACAAACAAGTGTTTACTATTTGTGAAAGGACCTTTCACTTTCTCTTGCTTTTCAGTTTGTAACTTACTCACGAGGCAAAGCCAGATGCTCTGAGTTAGCAGCCTGCTCCTTTTGCTGCAGCCTTGCTGAATTCCTGGATCTCATTTTACGGTGCTTTCTGCATGGAGCCTTTCCCCCGTGGTCCGCCTCGGTACGAAGTGTGGCAAATGGGGTATTGTTCCCTGTCAGTCCTCAGCTGCAGGCGCCCAGTGCTAACTGCAGCTAGACCCAGCTGAGATCCAGCCTTCCCCTCTAAAGAAAGACAGATTTTACAAAACAGTGAGGGGTAAGTTTTCAAGCGGCCAGAACATCAGGTGAGAAAACAACATTTTTCTTGAGTAAACGGCTATATGAACACGCAGGAGGGAAGAACTGTGCATAAAGCTTTTGGCCTGAAAGCCTCAGGTATCTTTCTAAGGGACTATGGGCACCCCCGAGATGAGCAGTAGAAGTGAGATGTTCCCACAGGGCTGGCAGGCAGGTAGGTGGGCACCCACTTTTCAGTCAGTCCCAAGCTTTGGCTTTTAGTTTTACAGGTTCTCATTGCTGCACTGAATGAGGGTTAAGGGGGCACTCAATGAGCTTCATCCTTAAAAGCACGGGGTGCAACAGCAAGCATATCTCATAACACACACTGGGACATACAGGGTGTGTATGTCCCAAGCTCTTAATGTCTTTATTGGTCAAATGTCCAGCTTTCACCTCCTTCCAATTACCCAACTAAAATTAAGGCTAAAAAAATCCAATCAAAATTACTTAATAATTAAGCCAGTATTTTCTTTTTCTTATGGCTCTGTAGGAATAGTCACAACATGGGTCATTGCTCTTTGTAGACACTAGTTCTCCCCTTGCCCATCTCATCCGTCTAACCAGTGCTACAGCACTGATCCAAGTTCACAGATATACTGACACCACGTCCAGGTTCCACTGATCTTAGTCCCCACAAGTAACTGCGGAGTTGTCATTCCTGCCTGGAATAGGAACGCTTCTTATTTATGCAAGTAAACAGGCCCTTGGAATGAATAAAGGACATTTGAAGAATTATTATTGGATCTTCTCCAGACAAATGAAGACAGCAAACAGGCAACCTTGCAGGGAATACCTCTGAGCTGTGCTGCCTGTTTTGAGTTGGAAAACTCCCGGCGTGCTGCTAGCTCTGCGCCACTCCACTTAATTGCCTCAATTGTCGCTGTTATCCTTTAATGGGAAACATAACTCGCTTTCAAAGCGACCACAAGAAGCCGCAGACAGGGGAATCCTGAAGATCAGCAGAGGTGGGACTGCATTACAGCCATTTACATCAGACTGAAATTACACAGAGTGCACCAGGAATGTCTCTAAATGGCTTCAAGCCAAGGCAGGCTGAAGCATGCTGACACTAAAAGTCAAGGCTAACAGTCCTCTAGCTTGGTATTGAACGACCCAGAACTCCAAATAAACAGCCTTTACGATAAAGCGTGGTCACACTGCTCAAACATAGGGCTAGGATACTGGTGTTGTATCCTGTTTCGCCATACAGCTCCTGTGGCCTTGGGTAAATCACAGCTTCTCTCTCTTTGTTTACTGCAGTAACAGGTAAAACACTGGTTTTACTCAAGCAGGAGGACTGTGAAGCTTAATTTATTGTTGAGCTCAGATACAGCAGTGACATGCATCATAAAAAGACTTTACACAGACCTACATATCACTCACAACAGCATGAGATGCAACTAAGAGACCCACAACTCTACTGTAAAGCAGAAGTGTTCTACACGATTTTCCTGTTAAGCACATGTCATCTCTCTACATACCGATGTTTGCAACCTGGTTTCTGAGGGAAGAGGTTTGAGGTTGACCAGCTGCTGATGGGAAAGCTTTCAGATCCTACAGAAAGATGCAAAGAACACTGTGTTTGCACTCTTCTGGTGGTTATTGCCAGAAATGAATTGGGGCGGGGGGGGCTAAAAATAAAAAAAAGTCACTAAAGGTGGAACATTTGCCTCATATTTGCTCTCCTTGTCTCAACTCTTCAGGAATAGACTGAAGTTAGCAAATGGGACCAGCTCATTTTGTAGCTCACATTTAATCTAACAAGACTTTGCAGAGTCTTTCTTGCTTTAAGTTCATGGAAGAGCCTACACATGATTTCAAGGACTATCTGTACAGCAGAAATAGAGTCACATTTTAGTTCACGCAAGAATGTGCTTTGCAGGAATCCTAGTAAAATTTAAACATTTAAAAGTAACACGTAAAGTAGAGTGATATAAAAAATATGCATTCACTCTGTCTTACCTCTGACAGGTATTTAAAATACATTTTCTCGTCAGCCCTGCCAATTTCAGTTTTTCTTTCCTGTGTTGTGCTGTAGTCTTGTAACAACAGTGGTTTTCATTTGCCTCTTCCTGGCTCACCCCACACCCGTTCCTGTGAAAGGGCTGTTATTCCTTGAAGGACAGCAGAATTACGCAGTACTGATTAACCACTTTGAGATCCTTTCTAATCAAAAGGTGCTCGACATATGATAATTACCCAGGGTACCCAGGCGCTGATTTTGGAGGGCATTCATGACAGATCTTGAGGGACATTAAAATTGTCCACTTAAATGGATTTTCACGTCTCTCACTATATCATTTTTACAGAGTGCTCAACACTCACCAATACAACCTAAAAGCAAAATGAGTGAGAAGTGCTAAGCACCTCTTAAATCCCAGCTCACTATTATGTTGCTATCTGTCTTATATGGACTTAGCTCCTAATGTTAAGGCCCCAGAGTTTAAAAGGCCCTTGAATTGAGCTTTCCACATATGGATAACTAGTTGCTACAGTAAAGCATATCTGAACTGCACCAGCAAAAGCATGATGGGCAGCAGGAGGTTCAAGAGCAGGACCTGGAGACAGCAGGAGAGCAGTAATTCAGAACATTAGGGCTTGCATTGGCACGTCCTGTCGTTAGATAGCGGAGCTAGGGAGGAAGAGTCAACACATTGCAGGGAGAGATGGTAACACTAAAAACATGTCCATAAGACTGGCAGACTACAGCATGCCCAAGTAGCAAGGTGTGTCATTAACAGCCCCTTCTGCAGCATGCTACGTAAGGGACAAGCCGCAGCACTACTGAGTAGAATAGCAACACGGAGCTGCCACTATGCTCAGCTCCACCATTATGATGACTTGGTCAGAAGCCCTTCCCTCAAAAGCACGACTCTTCATTTGCTCTCTCTCTTCACAAAAAGAGAATGGATCTGTTCCCTATTTCTCTATGATAAACAGTACTGTCAAATCTTGGCAGAAAATTAGAGTAACAACTACTCTCTCCAAAAAGGTGACTGGGATGAACTCATGCAGAGATAATTTCTCTTTCAAATGCAACCACCCCACTCTAGTTACAGGAAAGACAAAACGCCAATAAATCTTTCTATTTCTTTCTATTTTAGATCGTTCTAAAGTACATCATGGATATTCAACTTTAGCGTAGATTCACCCAGCAAAACACCCTGTTATTGCTGTTCTCACCTCTAAACGCTTCCATGGTTCCTTATACACATCAGCGCACCTCCAAAAGTGAAATACAACAAATACTCTTTGGATTTATTTTTTAATATAACAACATTAGCCTTTTTGATAAAATATATACAATGAAAAGTTAACAATAATCTTAATTTAATGACTGAAAACAAAACCATTCCAAATCAGACATACAGGTACACCTTATTTTTACAGATTCTGCATCAAAAGCAACACAATTATAAACGTAGTGGGGAAGCGGGGCATTTTACAGATTTGTCAATTGCCCAGTTTTCTCCATGACACAAACCAGACAGACATTACCATTTAAATGAGACTGCCATATAAAAGCAGCTGTAAAATGCTGCAGGACAAAACATGTCAGATAACTGGTCACTGGGCATTCTGAGGAAGAGGAATTAGCCCAGATACTTTGGGATGCTGACAGAAGGACCTGTTGCCTCTTACTAACTTGCGACCAGAGATCAGTTCAGGAGGGCTTGTTAGGCTATCCCCACCTAAAAGTATTCCAGCAACCATTTGAAATCCTCCGTGTCTTTTAAAAGTCCGTGCAAAGTGTGTACTCCTGGCTTACTGAGAAAAAAAAAACAAGAAATTGCAACAGCTTCAGGGCTTTGTGAAAGGGAGATGTTATAATGCTGTTACGCCGGCTAAGGCCTGCCAACCTCAGATCAGTCCCAAAAGCAAGGTTAAAATTCAACAGATTACTACACTGTCACAGCTTCCCTTTTTAAAGCAAACTTCGCATGGGAAATAAACTGGCATCTATTGACACTCAAGCAGCAGGACATAAACCAGCAGAAAGGTTCAGGAAGAAAGTTCACGTGAATGAACACGAGGGGCTGCGAAGGAGAACTACTCAGCAACAAAGCGTTCCTCTATTTTGTGATACCCACTGTGCAGACAGCAGTTGTCACTGCAAAAGCTATCCTCCTGCCTCCCTAATACCTCCTCCCACTGCATGTTAGGAATGAAATAAAGACTACACTGAAAAACAACCCCAAAATTTACTAGTAATTAAACGTTCCCAGAGAATCGGATGATGCAGTTTACAGCCACATCTCAGGGGAGTTATGAAGTGAAGTATCCCCTCAGAGCTATTGTTCCAATATGATTTTCATTCACAGCACATCCACTGCATTGGGCAATAAGATAAGTCTTAGTGGGGGTGAGACAAATAGGAGCAGATGTTTCCTGTTTCTAGCCTGACTTTCATTTGGTTTCTGTCATTGCTGCCTATCCAGTTTAGGAGAGGGGGTGAACTGTGATGCCTAACACTTGTCCCATTGTTTGGGGTTTTGGCAAAATCTGAGGAGTAAGGTTGCTCGTAGTGTAACAGAAAAATGGCCTATCGAGTAAGAGATCTCTGTTACTGGCAGCAAGGGAGATGTCAAAAGAAGGTGAATTCACCCTTATCTGGTAGCAGACGTTCTACCAGCGAAGCTGGAAGAAAGATTTCTTCCTCAGCCCAACTTAGGAGCATCTCTAACATCAAAGGGCAAGAGGTCTTTCGGTCCAGGCAGTTTTATTTCTAACTTTGCTATATCTAATTTTTAACTCAGGTCAATTTCAGCTTTGAGAAACAATTCCAATTTTCATAAGAAATTTAAAGTCTCTCTAAAAGCTTCATGCTTCAGTGGCAGCCTGTGGCCATGGGTTCTTTAATTAAATTGCAAGCTAAGACCCAGCAGTTTTTCCAACAACAGTAATTTACAGGAGTTTCATCTATAAGTGCACATTAATAGTGTCTTGCAGCTACACACAACCCTGCACATCAAAGCTGAAACCAGGAATTTCTGTAAATTGAAATGTTTTACAAATCAGTCTGCAACACACTGACTGCTGAAGAGGGCTCAGATGTTCAAATATTAACTCATAGCTGTTGTTCCAAGGTATGGCTATGATGTAAAACTATAACTGACTGCTCTGTTTTAGTAATGAAAAGGAAGAATATAGTAGGACTGGAAGATACATCTTTTTCTTATAACCAGTTTTGACACTTGAGTCACATTCACTTGTATGGACACAGCAGAAAACCTGAGATTCATGCAGAACGAAGAGATGCAGCAATTGGAGTTCTATCCTGCAGGTCTCTGTGCTTTAACAGAGACCGTCCTCCTAGCTGCCATGTGTGTCAACTTGCATTTAAATAATTTTCAAGTAATATGAAACACTTTGTTCTTTAAGCCATGTGACAAAACACAGATTTTTGCTGCTGCTGTTGTAAAAAATAAACATTTGTCTCACTACGCAGAAAAAACTATTTGCTACACAGTTGCTTAAGCCAACAATTCAGCTCAAGAAACAGAGGCCCACCAATCCCATAGGAAATAAGCTCCTCCCAAAAGACAGCAGCTATACATTGCAGACTGTTGCTTCAAATGGATGGATGCTTACACATCAAAGAGGGCTCCAGCACATTCAAAAGAAGAGGTCAGTCATGCCAGCCAGACCCCAGAGTGAGATTCTGTTTTATTCTTGCAGATGCACAGCCTCCTTTGGAGAACAAGTGTTTGTTTTGACATTTCTGGTAGGACCCATGAACAGACTCAATCCTCTGTATGCAACAGAGAAGCAGTTGTTCAGCTTTCCATTACACATTTGTGCAACGTGAAGGGAGGACTAATATTACCAGAATACAACATGAATTCCCATCTCCCTCAGATGCAACCCACTTTATTGCCTTATTTTCTTCAGGGCCTCATATTCCTCTTAGCACCGTTTCAGCCTTGATTTTCAGCACACAGGTTCGTCTCATAGCTGCCTTTACAAGCTGCCGATATTGGGAAAGCTCTTCAGTTTCTCAGGAAAGTCATCTTTGTACAGGACAGGGTCAGCCCGGTGCTCCACCACTTTCAGAGGCATGGTCCCGAAGACAGAGGCAAACTTATTGATGCATTCAGATCTGGCAAAAGGGAAAGCAATGTAATTAAGAACCCCAACAACTGGGCTGTCTCCTAGCTCCCACACCAAAATAATCGATAGAAAAACAGCTCAGTAACCTTCCCTCCTGTTCTTGGAAATACTTCAGCCATGCTAGCTTCTAGTAAATAAAAAGGGAGCCTCACTGCAGAGAGAACTGAAAAGAAACTGGTGTTCTTTGATTTATCCATTTAATCACGGAGAAGAGCAAGGGGATGCTGGCAGCAGCACATGTGCACATGGAGGTCAAAGCTTCCCTTCTCCCTCCCCCCTAGAATTCCAGTCATTCTTAAAGCAATGTACATGCTGTAAACCAGAGCAGATTAACCGCCAGCATCTCTCTTAAAGGGCCACTGTTGGGTCAGTTTGGCTCATAGCAAAGCTTTTGCAAAAAACAAGCATTTGTGAAAATGGAGTTCTACAAAAATGTTTCTTTGTTTTTTCTCAGACTTCTTCAGAAGCTCTACTTTTTCCCACAAAAATAAACATGCCCCAATATATAGGAAGAACTAACTGTACTATAACTTAAAAGTGAAGCTGAATGAAAACTATAAAATGGAACCAACTAGTTTATTTCCCTTGTCTAAATAAAAAGAAGTTGAGCAGTAAGGCGTCATATCACACAAAACAGATCAAACCACTGATGATTCTTTCAGTTTTAATAACCTCAGGTGTTAGTAATGCTCTGGAAGGGAACAGTGATGTGCTTCAGAAAAACAAGCAAACAGATACTTAACCTTACATTGCTTCTTTAACTCTTTCACTGAAAGACAGGGTACATGTGGAAGTAAGGCATGGAAAACTCGACCAAACTTATCTCAACCAGTGCTCAGCTAACATTAGCTATGTATTTTATAAAACAGCTTTTAAACATTTCAGACACTGAGAATCATGGCAACACAGTCCAGAAGACATCAATGTGATAGGCAGCTACAAGAAAATGGGTCACAATTCTTTTGCTGTTCACAAATGAAGGGATTAGATTTAAAAAAAAAAAGAACAACAAGTACTTTGACTCAACTACAGAAGCTCCTGTGCTGCAGGCAGCTCCAGAGCAGGTCTCTCGCTCCCTAACCACTGCGCTCTCTCCCAACCCCTTCTAAGGGTTAAGGGGTCGCTACAGCTCCAGGATAGTTTTCCTGAACAGAGCGGGTCAATCACACCAACTGAGTGTGACAGTTTTGTGATGGAGACTGCTCAAGACTGCCCCAAACACTCTTTTGAAGTAGATGGGACAGCACAACTGGTTTTCAAAATTAATTCCTCAGCCTCTGAGCCATCCTGTAGCTCCCTTGGAATTAAATGATTGAAAAACACAAAGCCTGAGTTGTTAAAGTGCTACATCTCTGTGTTGCTGTTTTCAAGCTATAACGGTCATATTTCAGGCTTTTTTTTCCTGGCCTGAAAAAACAGCCAGAAAATGACTTCACTATTAAATATATTATTCACTATATTAAATAAAATATTTAATGTCAGGAAGAACTCAGGCCAGGTAATGCAGACACCTCACTTTCTGCTACCTTCTCATCCCCTCATATTTCTTCCTACCCTGACTCCAGCTTCAAATCTTTGCATTAGGAAACAAATGAAAAGGAATTTGGAGCTTAAGAGGGAAGAAACAGTATGCACCAGGAAACAATCTCCAGAACTGGCATAAATACTGTTTGCTCAGGAGGAGCAGAGATCTGCAAAGGAACCATCAGTCAGGACTGAAGCGTACAGACACAAGTAGTTGTTCACAGTCTGCAAAAACAAGGTGAACCATCAGAAGGGTAAGTCTTGGGCCCTTGGCACAGAAGTGCTGTTCTGGAGAACGGTACCGGAACACTTTGCCCAGGAATACTAAGTGGTTTCTGCTGCTCCATTAGATGTCCAACATGAGATACCTTAAAGCCATCTGATTTTTAGATAAGGTCAAACTTCTAAATCACCAGTCATTTTTCAGAAACGTGGCTAACTACAATCCCAGTTGTGTGTACTGGAGGAGAGTCTTGTGGCAGGAAAAACACAAGGTTTGCAGGCTAGGAGGTAGATGCACTGGGAGATCTGTATGTGAGAAGTTTGCACAGCTGCTGTCCCTCACTGGTTTCTGGAATACAAGGCCTTTTACTTCTCGTCTACTGGTTCAAATCCTGCTTGCGCCAATAATGACTGAAAGACATTGTAATGTAACAGCTGTTTGGTGGCCTGTGTGAAATGAATTAGCTATCTCAGGCTTCTGCCTGGCGGGCAGGTGTCCACTTCATAGCAGCCATTGTCACAACCGGAACTAAGTGGCACCCCTGGAGCAAAAGGCAAAGCTAAATGGATAGCAGAGACAAAATTGACCTCTTTCCTCCAGAGGTTATACTCGTAAATCAAAGATGAGGTCTTATGAGAAAATAGCAAGATGGAATCCTTCCGTAGCTGAACTTCTTCTGGTGATAAGACCACTCAAGCATACCAGTACAATACCTTCAACCAGTAAGAAATCACTTCATTGTTAAAGAAATGATAACATGAAAAATGGAAAAGTAAGTACGTTCCAATCAACTGGCTGCGTCAGAGAACTTACTCCTCAGGAAATTTCAAATTCAAGAATGAGCAACAGCTTTTTCAGATGAAAAATGTGTCATATACAAGCCACACAATGTGTTCGAAGGAAAGTTGCCTCTTTCCAAGAATTTCATCTCCTGCCCTGAGCTAAATCACTTGAATTCCAAATCATCCGTCACTTTAGGGCAATATAAAACAGCAAAGACATCTAGCATATTAAACATTCAAAGCGAGGAAGCCAAAAAAACATAACATGTCATCTTACATGGAGGGTAGGTGTTTTTCTTGGCTGCGTTCACAGTTCTGCAAATTCATACTAACAGAGGCATCTTTGCTTCCAAGAATTATTCATTTTTTGCCTTGCTCTGCCGACAACATGCAGTTGTGCTCAACAAGGACTTAAATTAGTGTGAACTGAGAAATTGAGAGCCCTGTTGCCCCTGGCACACCGGATCAGCTTTGTGGCCAATCTAATAGGTTAGGGTGTCTGTTAATCAGCTTACTCTCCCTTATAACCCAAACATTTTTTGGCAGAGTAACTCTGCACCTGCAGCCTTTGGCCACAGGCTACCTGGTCAGTTTGCCTGTTAAGGGAATGCCTTCCTATTTTGACTCCAGTAAATATTTATTCACCCTAAAGAAAGCACTGCTGTTGACTTTGCTGCAGAAGCAGCTCAGCCCTTTGTTATATTTACTGTACAGATAGTTGCCCTCTAGGCTGTATTTTACAGAGTTCTCCATTTTGAGAGCCAGATGCAAAGATGCTAGAGGCAGAAAACTTGTTGCTACTTAAACACCCCTTGTAAATAGACGCATTATGAGATCCTTCTACAACTTCTCCTGTGGCCTGAGGCAAACGCCTAACCTAGGGCAAGAAGGGGATTCTTGGTTCAAAATTTTATTTGGTTAATGTATTTCACTGATGGAATTCAGGAGGCTGAAGCTTTTTTATTTATCTCAGAGAAGATAGCAAGAAGAAAAGTGCTGCTTGCTTTCCTATGGTTCTCTGTAAATACTCTTCAGTATTGGCCAGCAAAAGGAAAAAAATAAAATAAAATAAAAACCCTTAGGTAAGAGACAGAGTTTGACTGCACCGTGACTCCTTTGTCACTCCTGAGCGTGTCAAAAGGGCCCAAGAGAAATGGTTTGTTACACGTCTTTCCAGGACAGATCTCCACAACTGAGATTTCAAACTATTTTCACTTACAAAACAATCACCAGTGAGTGTCTGTACATCTTTGTGCTATTTCTGAACCAGAAACCTAACACTAAGCAGTTATGCACGATCATGACAACTCTGATAAACCATTTGTTTCATAACCAGTAGGCTGATCCCTGGATATCTGGGTCTGTTACTAGCTCAAACTACCTGCCACAACTTCTGAATGATAAAAAAACAAGCAGTCAGACACTTTGGGAAATTACAAGTCAAGCTGATTATGGCTCTTTGCCTCATACCGCAAGTATTGTTCTAGGTATTCATCACTGTATAGTTATCTGTACAAGTTGTCCTTTTATGATATGATAAAGATCATGGACTTTTTCCATTCAGCTACTCTTCTGACCCAACAGAGGGTAGCTAGCATGTACATATGAGACATAAGAGCCTTACTCACTGCTAAGAAAGGAAAATTTGCCCTACAAGTCTCTGTCATTTTTTATATACTTAAAATGAACAGCTAGCTTAAGAAGATTCAGAAAAAGAACCCCTGTCAGATTTTCAGCTAAATCCCATAAGCTGAAGGTAGACAGTAACAGCAACACAGGGTGAGAAGGTGTTAAGTGCTAGCATGTAGTTTCAGCATTATATTAATGATCTTGAAAATGAAATCTGAATATACCCAAACTGTATATCCTCACAGTTTTTCTCCTGCACCCAGCTTCTCTCCCAGCATTTACTCCGTTTGCTGGGCAAATAAAAGCATGGGGATCTACAGTCAACCTAACATTTCCCACACCTTAGTTATCTCCACTGTTAGAAACTATATTGGAGAAGCAAAGCAACAGTTAAAACATGTTCTCAAAAAACTGTCAATGACATTTTACTCTGAGGATACAAACACTGTTATAGATACAGAAACATGACCTTTACCCAGCATCATAATGCACTTTGGAGCAAAGACCATTTTTTCATCTTCTGTTTCTGCAGTGTCTACCTAAATGAGATCCCAGTTCATGACTGAAATTCCTGCATACCATTCTAATACAACTAGTATAATCATAGGAAAACCCGACTGGGTTCAGGTAGTCCATCCAGTAAGCCAGTGCAGAACTGCTAAATATAGTACATCCTCTTGTGCTTCCTTCAGCTAACATTTAAGATCTCCAGAGCTTCCAGGTCCTTCCTTAAGAAGTTTTCTGTGGAGTATTTTTCCAATCCAGCCTCTTATATATACAGTCTAAATAATTTGTCACCTAATCTTGGTGGTTATACTCTACAAGGCCTGGTGTGACACCTGGTTAACAATCAATCATCCAAACTATGCATATGTGTGTGTGTGTGTGTGTGTGTGTGTGTGTTATGTAGTGTGTGTGTATATACATACACACATACATAAATAAGCCCCCAACCTACTAACCAATTTTGCATTCATTCATGGAATACATTTCAACACATTTTAATATCATTTAAGTAGTAAAAGGCTGGTCAATTAATACAATATTTTAAATTTGCTCACTGAGCAGTGTGGAGAAGGAGAGAAGAAAGCTCACTCATAAGTATAATGCATGCCTGATTTGTTTTCTTTTGTCACCTCTCCTGCTGGTGTCTTCCAGCACTACAGCTATCCTTGCTTACCCATCCCATCAATACTATGACTGCAAGTTATTTTTCCCAAAGCTGCAAGGAGAATGCAACAGCCTGAGAAGCCTAGAGAGAAATGCCTTTGTCAGTCCTAGGTCTCAGGTAAGCTCCATCTAATAATTCATATGTACATTTATCTCAGACGGCCTCTTTGCAAACAATGGTCTCAAACAGCTTTGTAAAAGTGAACACTTTCCATTATTTCACTTATGCAGAAGCTAAGGCAGAGGGAAGTTAAGTGTCTTGGTCAAGGTTAGGAAGTTATTTTACTGTAAAGCAGGAAATGGAACTCATATCCTTACAGCTTTCAGTATTTCACTCTAAACACTCACTGCCTTTTCAAATACATACTTTATTCCCAAATTAAATTCTCACAAAAATATAATAATGCTGCCATTGTTAAAAAATGCCACATTCAATTGTGCCGGCAAATGCATTTCATTAGCAGTAGCAACGTGCTTCAGAATCTTTGGAGTAAAGACAAGGCACATGTTCAATAACATTATCAGTAATTTATATCCTTGTTAGTCAAACACTCTTTGGTAAGCTAGGAACTGTGTGGACTTTAAAAAAAAATTCCCACAATTGTTACATTTGAGCTTCATGACAAAACGGAAATGTGGTGGTATTGACAGTACTACTAACAACCTGAATTTCATACATATGTTTTATATGCTTTATAGCAAAGCTGCTAAAAATGGTGCCCTTGTAAAGTCCTTTCTCGTAGCAGTCTACTTTTCAGTGTCACATCATCCTCTGTAAGAATGATTTATGCTGATCAAATCCATGAGATATTCTTTCAAAATTAGTATTTTACAGAAATATAACCACTGAGCATTTTTGGTCCTAATTTAATGAGATACAGGATAAGATTCTAGGGATCAGAACAAGGCAATCAGTGGAATAAAGGGTAGTCACTCACCTTTCCACCATATGCGTCTGGTCCAGTGATAACCCATCGATTGCTGTGCATTCTGGACATTTGAACTTCTTCCGTGGGGTCACCTGCACAAAGGCACACCAGATATCATCAAATATCAACAGAAGGGACATTAATCTCCTTGCACAGAGAGCAGCGCAATACCTCTGAACATGCCTGCAGTGTAAGCTGAGCTCTCTCAAAAAGGGGGAAGGGGGGGGTAAAAAAAAAAAAAAAAAACCCCCCCCTTCCCCCCTTACGTTCCCTCTGGCC